TGTCCATCGATAGATGATTGGATAAAGATGTAGTATAAATACACACACACACACACACACACACACACACACACACACACACACAGAGGAATATTACACAGTAATTAAAAAAATGAAATCTTGCCACTTGTGACAACATGGATGATGGATCTCAAAGGTATGCTAAATGAAGTCAGAGAAAAACAAATACCATATGGTTTCACTTATATGTGGAATCTAAAAAAACAAAATGAACAGACAAAAAACAAAAACCGACTCTTAGAAACAGAGACCAAAGGGATGGTTGCCAGAAGGATGGGGGAAAGTGTGAAAGGGTGAAGGGGAATATAGTCAATAATATTGTGATGTTTGCAAGATGACAGACGATTACTAGAATTAGTGGGCTGATCACACTGTAAGGTATAAAAATGTCCAATCACTATATTGTATATCTGAATCTAACATAACCAATATCGCACACCAACTACACTTAAATAAAAAAAATACAAAGAAAAGAAGGGGAAAATTCTTACACAAACAAGATCAGTGTTGTATGGCTAAACTGGGATTACTAATTATAATTATTATTAGCATTTACATTTCAACAGTAATTAAGGAAAGGTTAGAAAAGAACTAAGCAACATTGCTGTAATGGAAGCTGATACCAAAATGTTTGTTTTCAAGTACTTTTAATGGCTTTGGATAAATAAAATTTAAAAAGCTATAAAAGTAATGACAGTACCTAAAATTTTTTGCGGACATTAAAGGAACTAATTTGAAACAATAGGTATCATATTAACAGATTTGAACTTACCAATTCCCATAGTCAAAATCAAAGGCAATAGTAATTTCAGTTCCCTTTGGAATACTTTGTATAGAATAAATGTAAAGATGTATGGTTCCATCTTCAATTTCATGCCTCACCTGTTAGTTAAAAGAATAATTTTGTATTTGTATGAATTACTTTCTACCTTTAGAAGCATCTCATCCTGAAATTTTGAAAACTAGTCTTTTCAAAGTAATTCACAAATACAACATGGAAAACATACGATTAATTATAAGACTTGTAACCATAATAAGTGGTTATCAACTGAGAAAGAGGTGTATCAATGCAAGCTTGATGTGAGCACCACAGCCCATGTAGCATTAAAAATACTGTTATTTTATCAAGTCTGTGATTCATATTTTTTCATCTTTTAGCATATCTGGAATTAGGAGTTGTATCTTTGATTTGATGAAATGCCATAATGGTAGTTAACACTATACTTTTCTATGACAAATACTGTCCTAGGTACTTTACATGTATTAATACCTTTAGTCCTTGTAACACCTTTTTACAGATAAAACTGAAGTATAGACAAGGTTATAAAGCTAGTTAGTCAAAGAGAAGACATGAATCTATTGTAGTAAGTCTAGCTTCAAAACCTATACTCTTAACTGTAACATTACACAACTATAAAATTAAAAATGTTTGTTCCGTGTAAAACAAAACCAAAAATATTACTTTATACTCCACATTAAAACACAATTTTATTAAAAATTTTATAGTAGCATGTAAAATTTATTTTAGCTTTCAGCTTTGTCATCTACTTTGATCAAATCAAAACATTTATTTGAGCCAAATTTAGAGCTTCTAGGATAAACAGAAGTTCAGTATTTCCTCTTAGGAGAAACATCACAATTTCTTTAATGTGCAAAGTAATTTTTAAGATCTTAGCCAACATCACTTCCATTTTCACAGCGGAAAGATGCTGGGCAGTATAACATCAATCAGTAGTTAAAAGTGTCTGGGGCTACCAGACTTGTGTGGTTAATACTCAGACCCCATGAACCCATGCCCCCGCCTCCCACAAAGGTTTATGTGAGCTTACCTCTGCATTGGGTGTACAAGAACGCCTGATGAATCGAGCCTCATTCCCAAAAGTCCTTGCATCAACACACATTTCTAGCCCATGAAATTTAGAATAGAATAAAACAAAAGGGTATGGTCTACAAAGAAAGAAATGCATTATAAACTATTAACATTTTGAGTTTAAGAAACTTCTAAAAGACTCACAGTAAGTAGTGAAGCCAAAATTTGAATATAAAGCAGTGTGATATCAGAACCCGTGCTTAAGGTACGAGTCTAATTCATGCTAGTAAGACTTTTACCTCTTCCTATAACCTTACCTAAACCAAAGGTAATTAATTGAAGGTGGAAATTCAAATTTACGAAGAGATAAAAAGGGAGTGACTATTGCCTTTACATAAAGATTCATAATTGGATACCTTTAAAGTCCTTATTTCCTAGTGAATTTAAGTGTTTGATTTATAGCTGTTTCAGATCAAATCTATATAAAAGGGAAGCATTCTTGTATATCTTTCATATTTTAAGCAAAAATTCAAGTTATAACTAAAAAATATTTTTAATCATTATAGTATATAGACTGAGAATGTATTCTCCCTAGATACAAACATATTTCTAGACTGCAGGGAAGCAATGACTACCATAGGATCACATCAATCCCAACCTTCCCTCCCCCTCCAGCAACATCACAAACCATAGGAGAGGCCTCCAAAGCCATTCCATACTGAGAAAGTGGGAATTCAAAGTGGTGGCAATAATGTAAGACCAAATCTAACATCATCTAATAAAAGACGAAGGGTTTGGCTTGTGATAGTCACCAATGGTCTTTTCAGGTTCTAGCAATTATGTTACAAGGAATCAGGAAGGGTCCTGGATGGAAAGAGTTCCTTATTAATCTTTAGTAATCAGAGTTTTTAATTAACATCCACCTATACTGCTGCAGTTTATCTTTGCAGTAGATTGTTTTAGGAGCGTCAGCAAGGCAGAAATGGGTAAGACACTGAGGAATAGATCTGCATTTTTTATGTTGTTACATTTTATTATAGTGCAAAAATTATCATCAGTCACTGTTCAACCACACTACAGCTTGAAATATTAATATGATCACTTAGGAAAACAAAATACACATAAACACAGCATCCTGGTAAAATAGCCAAAAATTCAATATATAACTATAGAAAACTAACATGGGAAATCAATGTACCTCTTGAAGAAATATCCATTTGCTTCAAATTGTTCTCTTAGCATAAACTTCCCTCTGTATTCAATGATGAGTGCATCAGGAGGCAAATCCTTTGCAGATTTCAGAATTTTCTTATTTTTTTGTATATGGCTCTAAAATCAGAGAATTGTTGAGATTAATTAAACCTGATTGCTTTCAGTCTAACTACTTAATAGTAGAAAAAGGTTTTGTTTTATAACTTTTTGGCAAATGATATATTTACCTCTACAGGAGGTTTGAAAAGCAAATTGTTGGTATTCGAATCTGATTTATTTATTTCTTTTTTGTCATTTCCATTGCCTAATCTCAGAGCTATTCTTTGTGCCTCCCTCTGAACACCCTCGCTATATTGATTATTATTTGCCTCTTCATATCGATCCATCCATGCTTTGATTTTTGTCTCCCATCCAAAATTTGAACCATCAGATGAAGGATCAATCTCTGGTGCCGAACCCTGAAATCATAGCAAACTAAGCATTGATATCTGGACTTAAAAGTATTTATAGATACACACATACACAAAATAAATGACAATCTATATAAAAGAATATAATACAAACTAGAAATAATGTTAGGCTTTCTAAGTTGGTCCCCTTGAAAAGACCATAAATGAGTACCTTACTACATTTTTACGCTGTAGGCCACACAAATATGAGTTGGAAAACTGAAGGAAGCCGGGTTAAATCAGAATAGTAGAAATTCAAGCGTCACTGTCACTATTGTAGCCAAATGGAGGCTATCAATAAAATTGCAACTACCCAAAAGTTCGGAGTCACTGTTGGCTAAAGTTTAAAGAAAGACAGCATATGAAATTTTTTATTTCAAAGACTGCTAATATCTATTCTGTACTCATAGTTCTATTTAACCAGAATAAATATGCTATTATTATGTATACTACACATACTGCATATTAAGTATAAACTTATTTTCTGATATACTACTATAATTTTAACATGTTTTATAACACAAATATACTTTGATATCTTAATTTAGTATAATTCTAATTGTCCACATGATAAATTTGACATGAGAATAAAATATTTCACAGAATCTGAAATGACCCAAATGGTCCACAGCCTAAATTCAAGGGTTTTAATGAGGGCAAGGACCTTCATTCAAGCTCAAGTGCTTGCTCCTCCTCTATAGCCTCCATTAAAATCTGTAAAATGCTACGCTAACTGCCAAATAGTATAAAGTTACCACCTCTCTTCTTAATGTTACAAAACAAATAGGGAAACTTTTTTCATTGGAATGCAATTTATAGGAAGGCAATTACCACACATTTAAAAAACTTATAAACTTATTAAAAACCTGAACCCTCACAATTCTTATTTGCAACCTTAGGATGAAAATCAACTAATACAAGTAACAAGGACATATATTGTGTATTATCGTTAGCATAATTCAAACTTGTAACAGATTTAACATGTGAAATTTTAATTTAGTTGTAAATACTGCTCATTTTCTTTCTACAATTTTAAACACTTTCATGAGAAAACACATTTTCTATATATGTACAACCTAACTCTGAAATTTTAACATCACATGTAGATTTCATCAAGATCCTCATATATCCTGTTAGACATGTACGTGTACAGAAACACTAAAATTTACATCAGTCAACCTTCCATATAAGTAACTAATCTGTATGTATGACAAAAAGTATTCTTTTCCACAATAAAACAAACTATAGTTGAACCATGAACAACCCAGGTTCAAAATGCATGGGTCGTCCATTTATATGTGGTTTTTTTCAATAAATACCTGTACTGTTTTTGATCTGCAGCTGGGTGTCTGAGGATGCGGAAGGCCGACTATACGCATTGATCTCTGCCACTTTATATAGGGGACTTTATTTCAGCGGGGGATCCTGGAACCAATCCTCCTCGGACACCAAGGGACAACGTAAGTTTTAGGGGAGTCAAAAGATATATTCGAATTTTTGACCGTACAGGGGGTTGGTGCCCCTAAACCCGGCATTGTTCAAAGGTCAACTGTATAGTAAGTTGCTCAGTTATTTGATGGGAGTAGGTTTATTTTACCAATTCATATTTTATGTACTTACATAGTCTACATTATAGTGACCACTTGATAAAGAACATTTTTATACAAATATGAGGCACTATGTATTAAGACTTTCCTCAGCTTTTTAAAAGAAATCTATTCAGTTTTCAATTTTTTCTTTCTGTTTTGTGCCACCCCCGCCAAAAAAACCCTCTAATGACCTGCCATATCTTTAATACAGCTTTTCTATATCTCTTGAACCTTATACATACTACAGAATTACTTATTAGAATTGTATTGATCTTAAAGAGATATCAAGTTAAGGAAAAGATTTTTAAAAGATGCATAAAGCATTTTAAAATTTTTACTTCCTTAGTCACTACTTCATGTAATAAATGAAAATATTTCAATTAGGTAAAACATGTTCCTTCCTCATTAAGCCTAAGTGATTAGATAAACTGGGAAGAAAGGAAAACTACTGGGGTATCAATAATTCCCAGAGCTTAACCAAAAACTTTTTCAGACCTCTTTATTCTGTGTCAAGAGAAAAATACCATAAATCCAATTTTAACAGAGTAAGTATAAAATCGCAGCTTTAACATATGAAGAACATTTTATGAAACTTTGGACTTGAAGCATGCTGAATGATACTATGTATTAACATTCTTGAGAAAGAATTACAAAAGTCTGCAAGAAAATCATTGGACAACTGTTTAATGACTTGTTTTCCACGAATGTGGAATAATGAGTAATTATTATGCTTTACACCACGGGGACAACAGATATAATGGAACATGCTTCCCACACCTATTTTAATATCTGACAACTTGAAAAACCCATTATCCTTTACTACCTAATTTAAAAAGCTATAGTAACACTGTATAGCTGACCTCTGTGATCCAACACAAACCTATCTTTTAGGGAGAGGCAGAGCTGGGGAGCCTTGTTTCTCTCAGCAATCTTGGCATCTACAAAATTGAGGATGTATTCTAATTAATTCAAGGTACAAGTGGCTAGTGACTACTTATGTGGTGGATCTATGGTGATTTTTTATAGTGGTTTGTAACAACTGACTTGACTAAATCACTAGAATCGTAAGTATGCAAAAGAACAAATTTCAAATTCCAAATTCCAAGTGTGATTTTGCATTCATATGTCTAGTGTACTAACACCAAGTGGTAATGGAGACATGGAATGCAATGATAAGTGAAATTCAGAAAACCTAAAATTTTAATATTAGAAATTGCTTATATACCTCCTCCTTTAACTTAATATTTTAACAGTGCTAAACACTAAGAATGGTATATCAATCCAATTAGAATTCTCTGTGGTCCCACTTCTGGTAAAGATATTATATAATAAGCAATGAAATGACACACAATGAAGAAAGCATAAAGATTATGAACAAACAACTACTTAGTAAGCTCCTGAATAATTGACAATCATAATAAAGGTTTAAATTTTATGCATTTACCTTAACTCTTGATGATTTCCTAGATCCTTCACGAAAGGCCTGAAATAAAATGGAATTCTGAGTTTTTAACTAGATATAATTAATACTTAAGAATCAATTGGTTCACTGAAGCTTTTTACTGAAGTCTCATAATAACAGAAAGTTTGGTAATAACCAATACCACCAGAACTAGGGGTAAAGTAGGTAAAGTCATCTACTAGAATACTATTCTACTATTAAAAATAGAATGCAAACTGTAAGAACATGAAAATGTGTATATAATACAATGCTAAGAAAAATTCTAAATTTTCTGTGTGCTCAATATTACAACCATGGAAAAACATTTGATAAAAACTGAATGGGTATAAAAAATCTAGTGATTCCTATAGAACTCAGCTCCCACCACTTCCTATCTGCTCATCTAGAAAAACAGAAAACTTACTTTTTTACATTTTGAAATGTTTTGTTCTTTCTCTCCACTTTTTTTCCGTCTTTTATCATTAACCTTGGAAACTCTTGAAGCAGTTAAAGTAATCGATGTTGGGGTATGCTGAAATGCAGTATATAATTCCACAGGAACTTCATCACCACTCTCAGTTGCACTGGTATCACCATCTTCAAAGGCAAAATAACAATTACTGCATGTGTAATACTTCTATTGCAAACAATAAAACAGCATTCCACATGAGAAACTATTGTATCTACATCTTTCTGAAGAATAAATACATTTTTTTTCACTTCCTCACTCACAGTAAGATACACTTAAATGCAAACAACAAATATCAGTTCTCATACATTAAACAAGAAAGGACACAAAAGTCTGACAACACACTGATGGTGTGACTGTGGAAAACAGGCACTTGCATACAATGCCAGCAGAAATTCACAATTCCCTCCAAAGGGTAGCCATGTCTAGCAAATTCTATATGCACTTACCCTTTCACCCTACATTTCCGTTTCTAGGGGTCTATCCAAAAATAAAATGGCAAAAGCACAAAAAACTTATCCAAGAGAGTTTTGTTGAAGGTACTATTTGTAATAAAAACAAAACAAAAATAATACTGGAAACGATCCAAATGTCCATCAAACAGGAACAGCTCAATAAACTATGATTATTCAAAACCAGATGTACTGGTATCAATATGTTTTAAGCCCAAATGAAAGTTGTAGCAAATTTTATACTTGTAAATTCTGTTCCTAAAAATGAAAGAAATACTATTCCAAATGATAAACTAATGGAGCCCCATTAAATTATATATACCATCAATATTCCTCAGTAAGATGTTTATATCTGACTAAAACTGTGCAGGCCACTTATTCTCTCACTCACACTAATCCTAATTTCATAGAGATCCTTTTCACCCACCTGACATGTTTTCCCTTTTCCGACGTTGTAGTAGCACCGCCCTCTCTTTATCCAAACTCCTACATTAGAATATTAACATGATTATTTATCAAAGTTTCATAAATTTAGATACAAATCAGATTTAAATATGATAAACTTTACAATTTCTCTAATGTTCTCAGTGGGAAAAAAAAAAAACCAGTATAAAATATACATACTATCCCTTGCCTTAGAGTTTAGATTTGATCTAGCATTATTAGCAGGAGATGCCAGTTAAGTGACTAATTGCACTCTGTTAAGAAAATAATTTTTTACTTAGGAAACTAGTACATTTTTTTTAACTGAATATTAAAGCAAAAAGTCTGGGAAAAAATGTTAACAATGTAACTAAAATCACAAATTAAACTTCTTAAAATAAATGTATGACACTAAATTAGAATCTATTTGCATTATACTATTTGCCTAAAATTATTCCCACTTTTGAATTAGTAAACACTTAACAGTTAATAATGAAGTAAAATATTTCATTAACCTCCCTCAGCCTCCACTCATGAAGTACATCATCTATAGCAGGGGTCAGCAAACTGCAGCTTGCAAGCCACATGCGGCTCTTTGGGAACGTACATGTGGCTCTGAAGTAAAATTGAAAATGAAAATAAAACTATCATAGTTTCATTTATAATATTACTTTAAATTTTCCTTATTTGCAAAATATATTTATGGCTCTCGAATAACTTTTAAATTGTTGTGAGGGTCAGGATTGGCTCTTCCATCTCAAAACTTTGCTGACCCCTGATCTATAGTAAGTGTTTTATTCCCCCCCTCCCCCACAATGTTTTCACTGCCTAACTTATTAGTCTAGAGGTCAAATAACACTAGATATTATTTTTAGATGGCTCTAGAATTAGGGCTTCAGACTGAAATGCCTACAACTCAGTAGCAGACTTGCCTTACAGTCTACTAGGATATGTAACTGTCCTATACCTAACTGAAAACTATACTAGTTATCACAGAGTGATAAGCAGATATCGCTCAATTGACTGCCCTCCCTAATGGTCAGTTTCTAAACAACTCTTAACTGAATTCATCAACATTACCCTATGAAAAACTAAATGCAAAAGGCTACTAACTATCATGAAGTGAAACAAAATCACATAGAAAAGCCTCACTCATAGGAAAAAAATGCAAACTATAACTAACACTAAGATTACCATTTCTCACCTAGTTAAATTGGCAAAAACCCAAGTCTGCCAAACACTCTTGTAAGGCTTGGGAAAATAGGCATGTTTATCCGTTACTGGTGGGAATTCAAAATTGAGCAGCTCCAAATGGAGGGGAATTTGGTGATATCTGACAAAATTTTACATTTATATTTACCCTTCTACTGAACAATCCCATTTCTATTTGCAATTACAAAAGACTGGAAAAAACTTGAATGTCCACTCAAGAAGGACTGGGTAAATTAACTATATTTGACAAAGATGAAGCACCTTGATGCCAGAGAGAGAAATAAGTCAATCTCTATATACTACTATGAAGTTATCTTCAGCATATATTTTTAAGACAAAAAAAGATGTGTCAAAAACTCTATATACCTAACTAAGTAAGGGAGGCAATACACATAAATACATACATATCTATTTCTAATAAGAAAACAAACAATGGAAGGAATAATCAATTTTTAAAAAATTGTTATTTCTCGGGTAGAAGTAACAGGGATAGAAGTTACACTTACTTGAATATACCTTGCTTTAAATATTTGACTTTAGAAAAATTTTGACTACTTCTTACATAATTATACAAATATATAATTATAGAAAATAAAGTATAAAAAGCAATCCTTAAAAATCAGAAATAACAAGATTGCTCATACATTTTGATAGGAATGTAAAATGGTACAACCATGCTGCAAAACGGTTTGACAATTTCTTATAAAACTAAACATGCAACTACCATATGACCAAGCAATTGCACTCGTGGGCATTTAGTCCAGAGAAAACAAAACTTAGGTTCAAAGCCTGTACACAAATGTTTTTATCAATTTCATTTGTAATAGTCAAAAAGTGGAAATAACCCAAATATCCTTCAATGGGTGAATGGTGAAACAAACAGGTACACATACACCCAGCAATATAAAAGAATGAAATACTGATATATATGCAACAAATTGGCTGGCTCCCCAGGGAATTACACTGAGTGAAAAAAGCCAATCCCAAAGGTCACATACTGTATGGTTCCATTTATATATAACATTCTTGAAAGGACAAATTATAGAAATGGAGTATAGATTAATGGTTGTCAAAGGTCAGGGATGGGAGGGATGAGGTGGGTGTGGCTATAAAAGGTAACATGAGGAATCCTTGTGATGGAAAGTTTTATATCTTGATTGTATCCATGTCAATACCCTGCTTGTGATATTGTATTAACAGTTTTGCAAGATGTTACCACTGGAATAAACTGGGTAAAGGTACACAAAATGTCTGTATTGTTTCACAACTACATGTGAATCTGCAAATAACTTAAAAGGTTTAATTAAAACAAAAACAAAAAAAACCCTCATCAGTATGAGTATGTATCCACTTGGTATTATAACAACATAGTGAAATTCTTTCAAGGGACTTTAAATACAATAAATTAACTACACATCCCTTGTGGAAACTAAGGAAAGAAAAAGTTCTAAACTGTTTTACACAATCATATTGTTGGTGTTAATGTTGGTATTGTTATTATTGAGACTGTTGTGTTCGTCTGTAGAATTAGGCAACTGAGTATTGTGATATCTAATTACAGTATTGTCTGTGTTGTTGAGAACGAGGATAAAAGGAGATACAGATGGAACACAGAAATGGTTAAATGGTATACAGATGTCAAATTACAATGCTGTACACCTGAAACATATAATGTTATATACCAAAATTTTACCTCAATATATTTAATTGCAATTTAATTTTGCAATTATCAGTATAAACTCATGTATTTTATCTTAAAAATAAACAAACAGACAAAAACATATTTCCGGGCTTTATCTACTAAAAAGATCTAGGAACAGTTATCAATCCAGTAGGAAGAAGCAAAGCGTGACTAGCCCTGAGATTCTGGTCTTGAAAACCAATTGTGAGTTTGGGGCATAGATGTACAATATAAGATAAGCTTGAGACACCTTGTCATATTAGCACAAAAACTATCAAGTACCACACTAGGGTATTTTAAAAAGGACTCAAGAGCCAACTTAAAAGAGGTTCCCATTGACCAAAAATGGGGCAAAATTTGAACATCAATAAGGATAACTGTAATAGAATGACACCCAATACATTTAAATCCCTGAGAGTTCATCATGATTCTTAAAATCTTTTTTCATTATTCTGAAAACTGGTAAATAGAGGCTAAGATCCACAAACAAATATTTATCCTTCATTTTCCTCATTGAAATATATCTTAAGAGAACTGAATAATTAATATGGGGGCATGTTTTCCTATAGAAATTTTCCAGCTAATATAGGATGAGCAATAGAATGAACATGTCACTAATTTGCAACTCCTAATAAATTAATGGATCTAAAGAATCACTATCAATGGGTCCCATCAGAGACAAACAGATATTACATGTCACTTGATAGAACACAGTCTATAAAACAGACTCATAAAGAGAGAGAGGGGAAAAAAAGGAACCTAAATCTTATCACACACCTATTTATAGAAATACAGAAGACAAACATTTTAAACCATGGTAATGCAATCAGCAAACTCATCAGGATAACCAATTCAGTTCTTTTAAATAACAAATTGCAAAGGAGACTGGGATTGATGTAAGGTGAGTAGGTTTAGATTACTAGAGACTTAAAAGATGCATATCAACCAATTAATATTTTCACAATGGCTGAATGATAATAGATTTTGTTGCATGTATAATAGTGATTTTGTGTTTATGGTTTTTAAAACAGAATTCTTTTATAGATATATACTGAAATATATACACATAAATACATATATATTGAAATACATAAGGATACATATGAATGAAATATCTGGGATTTACATTAAACAATATGAAGGGGAGAAGAAATATATGGCAGTATAAATGAAACAAGACTGTTGATAAAAAAGACTGTTGATAATTGTTGAAGCAAGGTAGTGGCAATACGCAGGTTCATTATACTATTTTATTTTTATGTAAGTTTGAAAAGTCCATAATAAAAAAAAGATTAAAAAAAACAAAACACTGCGAACAGGTGGAAAGATATTATAGACCTATGAAATTCTGCAAGAGAATGTCCTTCTAGTAACTCTTTAACATAGTGCATTCCGGTGAAAAAAGATACCATCACTTAGAAGATGCACTATTATTTTATGCATCATTAATAAAGTAAAAACCCTACAAAGTAAATCATAACACATTAATAATGGAAAAATTCTTCCTGATTTTAGAGATGTCAGAATAGAAAAATAAAAACATAAAAACAAAAAGTGTATTTGAATTGGTGAAATACAGTAATCCATTAATTGTTTCATCTAGAATTCATACATAAACTTCTATTAACTAAAGATTACTTGTGTAAAATTACTGGCAATCTTATCAGTATGCATAACTTACCTAGGCTGACAACGTTCACATAGATATGTATCAGGAATATGCTGCCTGTCAATCCCCATGCAGTCAATATGTTGCCAAACACTTATAAAAGAAAAAAGAAAAAAGAAAAAAAAAAACACAGAACATGTATATTATTAAAATCATCCTTAAATTAGAATTTAATATTCCATTTAACTGTCACTTGAAGTGTCTACTTTGAGTTTAGTACTGTAAAACGTGCTGTGAGGAATGCACAAAAATATGTCCTCAGGGAGCTAAAACTTTGAAATGTAAAAACAAGAGGACAAATATAGAATGTTATATAGAATATAAATTTATAAAGCAAATATAATTTTAAACTGTAAAAGGTATACATTACAAACATTATTCGCAATCACAAAGTAGAGAGGTCCACGCTACTTGGAGTTAATGGAAAAAGCACCCTGAAGAATAATGAACTTGAACAGAGCCTCGTTTGGGAAATTAGGAAGATATTATTATAGCAATGTTTTCTCAAGTAGGCAGAAATGAGGAACAACAGCCAGAGTCGGTTAACATGTATGAAGAGGAATGTTCATTCTGAGAAATACAGAGGGGTAAACATGGATTAGGTAAAGTAAAATCATATTAATAAGACTTGTAATGTCAGGATGTGTGTAGATTTCCTCTAATTGGCAACAGGTAGCAACTAGAGATGCTTTATACAGTTATTAATTCAAAGAAGTTAAGCAATTGGAAGCAGAAAAGCCAAATAAGAGGCTTTTCCCAACATTCCAGAGCTCAGTTAAAGAAGGACAGAACTAGAATGATGGCAGAGAAGGTGACATTAAAGAATCCACGAAATATTCTATGAGTCTAGAGATGAAACCTACTCTGTTCTCTATTTTTAATGGAATACATGGACCAGCATGAGGCAAACCTCAATTTATTATTATATTTTATTGCCAAGACTAAATTGGTCTAAAGTCAATATATATACAGTACCTGTTTCTAAAAACAATTTTAATTATTCTTCACAAAAAATTAGCCATTCTGACATATAAGCTATTAACTGCTATTGTAGTGTTCTTTACTTCTTAACTGAGTATCTTGGGATAAGAGCTGGTAGAATGTGGAGGCTAATGGAATATATACCAAAGATGTCGGGAGGAAAAAGCAAAAAAAAAAGCAGAGCACCTGACAAGGAGGGCTACAATAACAAATTAAGTTGAATTTGGGGGATAAACAATGATGTCATGCAGACAACAGGAGAAACAGAACTACAAAATGATTAAATGATCAGAGCTCTAGATGTCAAACTTGAAAGATGAGTATGGGCAGTAGGTACATGAAAATACCGAGGCAATATAAAATAAGAGAAGATTAAGCCTTGCAATACACTACAGGTTAAGCAGTAGAAAAATATAATAAAAATCAGATTCATAACAAAGTGAGCAGGTGCTGAGAAGTAAATACCTTGAGTAATCCAAAAACCGTGAACTGGTCCTTCAAGAATTTGTAGATAGGTATAAATCCTAAGGACTATTTCACTATTTTCTAATAGAGATAATTCTATATTTTATATAGATCATTGTAATTAAATCAAAAGAAAAACACTGTTTAGATTATGCATTAAAATAAAACACTGCAAATGGTCTGTGATTTATCACATTAGACAAGATCAGCTAAGAGAAAGCTATTTTATATGACTGGTTAAAATATGAATTGAGATTTTCTAACAAGTAGCTAATTAAAAAATTATAAGGAAAACAAGTTATCATTGAAGTTTTTTTAAAATTACCTACTAAATAAATTTACTGATATGATTGCTCATGGTAATGATATCTGTCACAGGTAATAAGAATTTATTTTTAAATTTGAAAAGATAAAATATGTTTTTATTAATATTAACTCAAAGTATTAATATTACAACTTTCAATAAAAATATCAAATTTCACATTCCACTTGAGACTAATTTCCTCCCCTTTATAAATCAACTTTTTGAAATATAACCCTAAATGCATGTTTATATCAGTAACATCCAACCCCTAATCATTTAACCTAATAAATGGGAACAGTATTAAAAAATAATGCAAAGTAATTTATATTTGACTCTAGGATGCATTTTTACACTCACATTCAAATATGGATATATGTTATACTATTTCAAATCAAATAATGAAGCTATGCCATAAGAACCAGACTCAGGAAACTGTTTAATGCTATCAAACTTTCTTACCCTCTACAGTGCACTGCTTAAATACTCTCTGCTTCTCACACTATGCAGGGGATGGACTCAGTAACTTTTAGGCTGAAATCCTACTATTCCCTTTCCATCCTCCCCAACTCCCTCCCACCAAAAAAAAAAAAAAAAAGAGAGAGAAAGAAAACAAAGCCCCACTTTCTGTCCCAATCACACCTTCTCTAGGGGAAGAGGCCTTTCTTGGTGGTTGAACCAGGGTTGGGGGAGGGGAGACTGTGGTTCTGGTTCAAGGAGACTCCAGAGTGCTGCAAGGTTCAAGTCAAAAGGAGGTGAGAGAGTCAGGTCAAACAAACATCAATCAAAATGTATAATTTCCCCCAAACTGGAAAATCACAGTTGACTATACAGCACAAATAATTCCAAAGGAGACATACAGGACTCAATTCCCTTCTCATTTCTATCGTGTTTACTACTATATGTAGTTATATTACTATTGAATGAGTGAAAACAGACATGTGATCCTATATGAATAATGATCAGAACTGATTGCCTATTACTCAGTTAGCAATGAGGAATTCTAATCAACTCTGAGATAGCTTTTTTCCCATAGGGGCTTTTTCTAGGAGCAAAACAGATGGCATTCATAGTAGCAGAAATCTCACTTTAAAATGCATTCATTAATTCCTTCAAAAGTGACTTTAATTATTTTTCCCAACATTAACAATCAAAGGTTAGCAGCAGTAAAAAAAACAACCAAAAAAAAAAAAAGAACTAATGGCGTGAAATATTTTACCTGCATTTGTCACAACAGATCATGTATCCATCATCATGTGTAAAACCACATATGCACCTGGTTACATCAGTACCATAACTTCCATCCTCAGAAGTGCTGATTGTAGTAGCACTGGAAGTTTCATCAAAATTAGGAGTGGTAAATATGCCTACTTCATTTTTGCTAATAAGAACTGATGGAGGAGGGGAGGCTGGAGGTGTTGGAGGAGGACGAGCACCATAATTATGGTCCTGGATAATTGAACACAAATATAGCACAATATAATTTCAACAATGATATGAACTAAGCAACTTAAAATTCAATCCTTAATTTGAATATTCAAGAGATATGAGATTGGCTCATTTCTTCCTTAATAGCTTTAAAATAACGACTTGGTGAAGCTAAATATTAAACCATAGTAGTAAGTGAAAATGTCTACCTACAATCTTGGTCACCTTCACAATGACCTCCCTTAAATTCCATCCCCTCACCCCTCAAATCAGAAGATATCTTCACTGTCCTCTTGTCACATAATTCCACCTTCAAGATAAAAGCAGGTGCAAAATGTGAGAACAGAGGTAAAAAATACCTCAGAAATGTGGAGGCTAAAGAATAATCAAAACAACTACAAAAGACACATTATCACTATAAAATATTAATAGGAATTTTTTTTAAATTTGGGAATTTTTTATTCTTGTACAAGTGGTAAAATTCTTTCATAATTGTACCTCAATAATATCAGAAATGTGTTCAGTTCTACAACTGTTTAAGTCTAAGCTCTGCCTCTTACTATCTATGCAACACTGAATAAGTTCATGTAGATAAGCTTTTGTCTTCTCAGCTATGAAATAAGGATGGAAATTATATCTATCTCATGAGACTGTTTTTGAAGATTAAATAAGGTAATATATGTAAAACTGCTTACCACAGAGTCTGGCATATAAGTGCTCAATAAATGGTAACTATATAATTTACTATATAAATTACTATATAATTTAGAATTAACAATAGTACTACAATTCTACCTACAGTCTTTTTATAAAGAAGAAATGAATTATAACACTAAACTAGTAATAGCATAAAATACAAAATAATAATAGTAATAATAAAACTTCTAGAGAATGCCTCTTATAGAATTTTAATCCCTTGAATAGTTAGATCAATGAAAAATTAAACAATAAATTATAATATCTAATTGCTTAGATAGTACAAAACAAGTATGCTATTAAAATATTCAGTTTTAAGCAAATACCACACACATCTACTTTTAACCTCTAGATAAATGCTTGACACTTACCGCATATGGCAAACCAATGTAACTGTGTGAATGATGCGAGCTGCTGGTATATAACTGGTGGGGATAACTGTTGGATTTCTCAACTACCACAGGGCTAGCTTCTACGGATTCTGGTCTGGAAGGAAAAAAGTTGCATCAAAGAGAATTCCATTCATTTTTTTTCCTTTTAATAATTTAAAATTATAAGCACGTTTTTTGTTGGCTATACAAATGTTTTTTTATAGTAGGTACACACCCTGTGGATAAGATACATCCTACCTAGATTCCATGTCATAACAAAACTTTTAAGTAAAATAAATGTCCCACCTTCGAGTTCAAATATAGTTTCCCTCTCTATCATTAAAAAAATATATTACTAGAGATTAAACATTATTTAATATACTGGGTGGCAATGGGGACACTATGCACAGGGATGGAGAAAAGTAGTAGAAATAATTTAAACAGGACTAAGGACACACTGATTCTATATGGACCCCAATTTGAAAGTGAAGTACACATTTCAATGTTCAAAACTACAGATGGTCCCCAGCTTTCAGTGGTTCAACTTAACTATTTTTCAACTTTGGGATGGTACAAAAGCAATATACATTCAGTAGAAAACGGCTAGGCTAAACTATGATGTTTGGTAGGTGTATTAAATGCAGTTTCAACTTAGGAAGGGTTTATCAGGATGTAACCTCATTGTAAATCAAGGAGCATCTGTATATGTCAGTGTGCCAAGGTATAATGAAGCCTTGAAAATACCAGTAAAGAAATAGGAAACAACGAACCAAGGGGTGCTTATAAAAACCACAAGCAGCAGCCTATGGTAAGATCCGCAGTTGTGGCCTGGTAATGGTTAAATGATGGTGACTTGGCGAGCTGCTGATACAACTGGGAATAACAACTCACCCACTGTGGCTGACTTGTAAAAGCTTCCTGGCCTAGCATTTTATATACATCACTTTCTCAACTTCTTTACTCCTAGCAATCCTCCTGAGCCCTACTCTGGTAATTCCTATTGATCAGTGTGGTAGTGAACCTACTTCTGAGGCCAATTAACACTGAAATTAATTTCTCCCTTGTGTATACACATGACTCACTTCTGTGCCATTACTCTTACCATCGCCACCATTTGAGATGATTGTTTTAGGGTAATGCTTATCGTACCTTTTATCAAAAACTTTCCATTAGAACTTAGTACTATTTGCACTCTTCATAGTCTAAGACTTCTTAATAGTTCTCAATCTTATTAATCATCTTTATAACACAGCCCCTTAAGCCCTAGTGATCTATTTATCTTTCTTCAGATCCATTTATTTCTTCAATAAGATGTGGCAGACAGAACAGCAGGGAACCTTAGCCATAAGTATAATATACTCTGTACAAAGTGATAATGATCATCATTTGGCTGGATTTAGCAGCTTACTATACCAAAGTCAAGAAATGACTTATCTTAGTATTCTGACCATACCCATAGTGAAACATTTGCCATTTTCTGCTGACTCAGTCTTCTCAAATCTGTATCTTATCACTATTAACATAGCTTTCACTATATGAAAGAATGAATCTGGAGGTGTCATTATACAGTCCCTATTCCTAGGCATTAAGATAAGAGCAACACTAGTAATGCTGAAAGAGGATACTACTATTTTTTACGACATCCAGAAAGTTTATTCCTCCACTTTGTTTCCATCTATAAATTCCATTCATAGATTTTTTTTCTAAGTTTTTTGGTGGATTTACCTTATAGTCAAAGGAGCGCACAAATTAATTCAAGAAATAGTTGTATGATAACGTTCACTACATGTTTAAGGTGCTTTGTTAGATGCTACGCAGAAGAAAAAGATATCTAAAACATACTCATAGCCCTCAAAGAGTTTTTGATCTTGGGAAGAACAGTAGGGTTAGCGGAAAAAAAAAAAAAAAAAAAGTACACAAAAACCACCATACAAGGCAAAAATAGAATGCCATAAGAAGAGTATGGGGTAAATGCTCAACAAAACTGTTTCCTCTTCTGCATGAGACTTTGATCTTTAGTTAACTTTCTACCTCTGTTCCCCTAAAAACCTGATAAGCTAATTTGCTGTAGTGCTAGGCACATTAATAAAAATGACCCTTGATTAGCAAATTAATTTTATCTGGATTGGGAAAACTATAAATACAAGTCTGACAATTAAGTTTGCAAACTTGCCACCGTGTGCTTAATTACATTGGCAGCACTGTACAAACAGTTTGGTAAGGTTTCATAACCTTGGTATATCAGTGTCTCACAGCTGTGTTCATGTCGATGTATGGCAGTGTCTTGCTGAGTGGCATTCATTATTGTTGCGTGTTTTTGTGTGCCATCGCAAGAATGTCTGAGCTTGAGTTAGAGCAACAAACAAACATTAAATTTCTCGTTAAACTTGGCAAGAGTAGAAGTGAAATCAGGGACATGTTAGTCCAAGTTTGTGGGGATAATGCCATGAAGAAAATGGCAGTGTACAAATGGATTAAATGTTTTTCTGAGGGGAGAGAATGCATCACTGATGAAGAGAGGTCAGGGCGGCCAGTAATGAGCAGAACTGACGAAAACATTGTAAAAATTCATCAAATTGTGCATCGAAATCATCAGCTGACTGAGAAGCATAGCAGACCAAGTAAACATCGATACAGAAACAGGAAAATCTTTTTTTTTTTTTTAATTGGGGAATTAGGGGGATGGGAACAGTGCTGGGGAATTGGGGGAAGGGGAACAGACAAGTTGCTGTCCTTTTGTTTTTCAGTCTAGTTGTGGAGGACGTTGCTTCATTGGCCCAAGTTGGCACCATCATTGCGCTCTTCCCGGGAGAGGCAGATCAGTCGCCGGTTTCTGGAAGGCCGCTCACTGTGGCTGCTGGCTACATACGGTAGCCCATGGCAACCCACTGCTACAGGGGCTGCAGCCTACACTGTCGCTGGCAACTCACGGCAGCCCAGCTCCAGGTTGAACTGTTGTTCAGCATCTTAGCTGTAGAGGGCAGTGTCACTGGCCCTCATATGTGGGATCCGAACCGGGGCCCTCTGGCGTCCCAAGCCAGTTCTTAACCATCGCGCCACTCGGCCGGCCCCAAAACAGGAAAATCTTAACTGAAAATCTTGGCATGAGAAAGATGCTTGCAAAAATGGTCCTGAAGGAGCTCACCAATGAACAAAAGCAAAAGACTCGAAGTTTGCCAAGACCTTTTGGAGAGGCAAGACGATGTTTTGGGCAGTGTTATCACTGGTGACGAAACATGGGTGTATCAATATGACAGTGAAATAAAGTACAATGGAAGTCAGCCAATTCTCCACAACCAAAAAAGTTCCATCAATCCAAATCAAGAGTCAAAACAATGTTGCTAACCTTCTTTGGTATCAGAGGATTATTCATTATGAATTTGTACCAACTGGACAAACAGTTAACCAAGTTTACTATTTGGAAGTGCTGAAAAGGCTGTGTGAAAAAGACGACCTGAACTTTTTGCTAACAATTCATGGCTCTTGCATCACGAAGTGCACCAGCTCACATGGCAATGTCTGTGAGAGAGTTTTTAGCCAGTAAACAAATAACTGTATTGGAACACCCTCCCTACTCAGCTGATCTGGCCCTCAATGACTTCTTTCTTTACCCAGAGATAAAGGAAATATTGAAAGGAAGACATTTTGATGACATTCAGGACATCAAGGGTAATACAACAGCTCTGATGGCCATTCCAGGAAAAGAGTTCCAAAATGCTTTGAAGGGTGGACTAGGCACTGGCGTCAGTGCAGTTTCCCAAAGGGAGTATTTCGAAGGTGACCATAGTGATAGTCAGCAATGAGGTATGTAGCACTTTTTCTAGGATGAGTTCATGAACTTCACTGTTAGACCTCGTACTCGATGAGGATACTACAGATTTGAACTTCCCCAAGATGCAGTGATTCCTGTTCCCTTGCAAGGAACCTGAGAGCTCTGCTTATGCTTGTTGCAAGGAATACTGGCTTCTGAGGGACATGAGGCTTCTGTATCAGGGAGACTCACACCAATCCAAATTGGATCTTGTCTCCTTACACCTGACCAGTCATCTAGAAGCCAAAGAAAACAGCTCCTAGATAGCTGACTATCCTCCTGCATGGACTCCCACAGAGAGGAACACCTGATGCTAACCTCTGACAAGCTGTGGCTCCTGTCCTATATACCATATAGACTACCGCCAAGCATGGTCTGTGATAGTTTTATAAGTCTGCATGTTTAGTTGAACCTAAAAAGACCCCTTGAAGGAGTTGCAAAAGGTCAGAGTACTAAGATCTAGACTCTAAGGGGTTCAAGAGAAGGGCACATCTACTTGAGTAACAGGAAGGACAAAAAATAACACTATGAGGTTTCATTAAAGGTGAGAATGCTCCTGAAAGATACACAGGATTTTGAACATTTGAATTTTATATCAGGTATATCTCCTATTGAAAAAAATTAATTTAAAAAACCAGTAATGATGGAGAAAGATGATATCCCATGCATAGGCAAAAAGACAGGAAAAAATGGCATGGGGAGTCTTCAAGGAGCATGGGGAGGTCAGTTAGACTCCAGGATAGTGTTTATTTATTTAGCTGTTTCTCAAATGTAAGTAATATACAAACCCCTGAAATAAAGGGAAAGGGATTTTTCTTTGTAGATTTGGATTTAGAGAAACATTATGTTAAATTAGGACTTCAAGTGATCTGGGCACCAGCATCATCGAACACAAATTCAAGAACGTGTACAAATTTCACGGCAGTATTCGGTATAAGTGGTAGTCATCCAGGATGATTCTAAACATACTTAAACTTTTTTCCTAGCTCAAAATTAAAACAGCAAAATTTTTAAAATTTCTATTACTCGCTGACCCCCCTGGGGACTACATCCATAGACTTCAGTTTGACTAGCACAAATTAAATAAATATTCAGAGCCTAGTGTTTGCCAGGGACTACGAGAGATATAAAGATAAGACACTGTCTCTGCCTTTAAGGAACTTACAATTATATAGTTGTCATTCATTCCATAAACATTTGAGCACACATTAAGTAGAAGACTCTGAGACGCTGGAAATTAAAAAATAAACAAGTGAAAGAAGTGATCCTTCTCAAGAAAATGGTGTATGGGGAAAACAAACAAG